ATACCGCTCCAAGATGGCCGCCGTATTTCCTGCGCCGGAGCGGCCAATGCGGGGTCTACTCTTATATTATGTCTATGGTTGTTGGTCTCCAACAGCTTGACTGTGAAACTAGTAACTTTTTGCTGGTCGCATTCACTTAGCTTAAGTTCATGCTACAGCCTGTTTGATGACATAATATGTCCTGTAAAACTACAAAACAGGATTTAATTTCCAGTAATAAAATTGATTGGGTATTGGTTGATATTAATGTTAGGTTTAGTATAACAGAAGTCAAGGGTTTAATAAAACAAAACAAAACAAAACAAAAAAATGACAGAGTTGGCAACTGTTATGAGTGGTTTATAAAATCCAGAGGAAAATTGGAGAAATGAGAAGAGCAGAAAGGAACAGGAGAGAAGAGACAATTATTTCATGACTCAGAATTGGGCACACTAGACTGAACAGCACATTATTTTTAACAGGGAAACATCAGACAGGGGAATGTGAGTGTGGGAAAGGTGAGACAATTGGACATGTTATTTTGCATTGCAGGAATTACCATATTCAGACAAACAAGTTAGTTAAGAATCATAGTAATTTGGCTATGTAAGGTTATATTTTTTTTTCTTTAAACAGTGTATTTTGCATAACAGGATCAAATGTATTCATTTATTTATTTATGTCATGTGGTCCACACTCCTTACCGGTTGGTAGTCAGTTGTTTTCCAACTGCCAATAAATATCAAGACGAAGAAGTACATTTGGAACAAACATTTAGCTTCGATAAGCATGTGTTTCGAAATCTTTGTTGCAACACCGATCACCTGTGCTATTTTATCAGGTGGAAACCATCGGCGATGCTTACATGGTAGCAAGTGGCCTTCCTATCAGCAATGGCACCAAGCATGCTTTGGAGATATCCATGATGGCTCTGCACTTCCTGGGCGCCATTCAGGTCTTCAGAATCCCTCACAAGCCAGATGAGATCCTTGCAATTCGCATTGGCATACACTCTGGTAACAGACTGCATCAACAGAAACACCTCCATTTTGCCTTTTTGCCTTTTTTCCATTTTTTATTTTTTGTCACTTGTCAAATATTTTCACAAACTGCAACATGTTTTATGTGAAAATAACACATAGTTGCAAATATAAATAAATGTGAAAATAACACATAGTTGCAAATATAAATAAATGTGTGTTTTGCATTTACATTGAGCCCGATTAATACTCTGCTTGCCCGATTAGTGAGTTTGGTTGGTAGGTCAGAAGTTGTGCTATACTCTTTTCAGGACATTGTATGGAACAACGGTCTCTGTGATAACAAAAAGCTTTGCGTGTTTTATAACCCTGCTTTGAACTTCCCCACAACTAATGATCTCTAACAAATCTCAGAGGCCTTCACTAAACATTTTGACTCACAGTGGGATTAAATTAAAAACAGGTGGACGGTGTTTACTTATTAAATGACTTCTGAAGGAAACTGGTTGCTCTTAATTAGGGGTATCAGAACAAATGAGTGAGATACATAAGCAACCCTTATGTTCTGATCTTTATTTGTAAAAACTCACAAAAAGAAAATGAGACTTTTTGCAAAACATCTATTGTGTTTGTCTGCATTAGTGCTGCAACTGTTGCAACTGTTTGACATTTGTCAATATTTAGGAAGAATCCCAACACAAAAACACGACTGGTTTGAGTTCATTGTTGCAAATGTTTGACTAAGGTTTAGAACTGGTGTGAAATAACATGAGTAATTTCCACCCAAACATTTCTTGAACCGTCCAACTGTACTTGTCTGGTTCATGTAGGTCCAGTGGTTGCTGGAGTGGTGGGAACCACTATGCCTCGCTACTGCCTCTTTGGTGATACAGTAAACACAGCCTCACGCATGGAGAGCAACGGCTTACGTAAGTTAAGTCTTCTGCAAAAGTTACACACATTTCTTTTCCACAGATGAGGGAACTGAACATTATTGTAATACATTTTGGAATGGAGATTCTCTAGTGGTCTCGGAGAGGGAGTGAAATCAAACCTGACGAAAATGGAAGAATTTGAGTTAGCTGCAATTTGGTACATCTGCTAACATACTGTCTATGTAAATTTCACTTACAAGATGGTTCTTTAAAAGAAAGGAAAGTGTTTCTCTTAAGGTGGCAAAAAACACTAGTAAAACTCTTAAACCAACAGATAAAATGCTTTAACCGCACGGATTATTTTAGGACTGACATTGCATTGATATTAAGGCGTAGACTTACTGTATAACTCAAATGTATTGAATAATTAATTCATTTTCCTGTGTTATGAATTAATAATTCATACATTCCACTACAACAAAGTATGAATAGAGTCAAACTTTCTAGATTTCTCAATTAAAAAAAGGCTGTTGACACTCACTCCAACTTGAAGCTTGATATCAAAACCCAAGATCCTGTTTGTTTGTTTGTAGCGCTATCATTTAAAAGATATTAATAAAAGTTTAAAGAGAAGTCATCCAATGTCAACCAGGATCCTAATTTTACATTACCCAGTTCAAACTGAAATGCTGCCAGTGGTTTGTGTTTTATTTAGTGCAAACATAACGTTGTAAATTTTAAAATATTAAGGGCATCTAAAGGTTGCAGCAACCCCTGGTGGTCAGAAACACAAGGTCACCTTTTTTTCCTTTTTATCCTTTATCATACCTAAAATAACGGTCTTACAGATGGAAAAGGCAGAACAAAGAGAGCTCAAATGATTGATGACATTTTTGTTAGTTTTTTTTTTTTTGACAGATCCTCTGATTTTGTTAGAGCACAAATGCTTGACACCAGATTTTCTGGATTTTAAGAATGTATGAAAAGTAACATCTGAAGTGTCCACATAGTAAACTTGACTATATCTTCCACAGGCTTCTCAGCTTAAATCCTCAGAAATTAATTTACTCTATTTGTCTGAGAGCTTGACATCTTTCCATTTGCTTGCTCTGTAATCTTCCAATCACATGGATGCTGAATACACTGTTGATAAGCTAACATTTACATCTCTGTTACAAGACAGTAATAAAACTCAAAGGAACAGATGACACTAGACAAAGTTATTGGTTTGATATTACAGATATTTATTCTATAAATTCTAATTTGATGACATTCAGATGTATCCCTGTTACTATTTCATTGAGTGGTGGTTTTAGTAACCCAAGGCATTCTTTTTATTGCATACAGCACTAAGGATTCACATATCTCAGTCCACAGCTGATATTCTTGTTCAAGCTGGATCTTTTGAGTTGAAAGAAAGAGGGGACATCGAAATGAAGGTGACTTGCCAACATTTTTGTGTGTTTTGTATTTTTTTAAGGTGTGCACTGCTTGCTTTATGAACAGAATACAATTTTCTGCCAGGGTAAGGGAGTCCAGAAGACCTATTGGCTGCTGAACAAAGCTGGATTCAATCCTACTCTGAATTCGCTCAGCTCACTACAGGGTGACGGTCTCAAGGTGCAAATGGAGGTAGGTTGAAAGAAAAATGTTGAGTATTAAACAGTCCCTCATATTATTTTTCTTTTTAAATGATTCAATTTACAACACAAATTCAACTTAAATTGTTAAAAATAGTGTTTCAATACATTCAGGGTTTTCAGCACTTTTTAATCATCCACTTCTTATGCTGTAGGGTCCACCACTTGCTGCACTTGCTTTCAAATGCAGCATCAGAACATTATAACAATATTATAATGTTTCTAAATGTATTTTTGAATAATACAGAGACTTGATAATGATTTTGCAATTTATTTCTATTCTATTCTCTGTAAAACATTTTAGTCACAATTTTCTATTCCACATTCAGAATGAAGGAATCGTCTTTGGAAATTGTTCAGTTAAAAAAAAAAGATTTAGAATTATTTTTCTCATTTATTTCAAAATGTCTCCTTAATAAAGTCTGTCTATGGTTACACGCACAAGTTTTCACACTCTTGACCTCTTCCACGTGTTACCGTATCGCAACCAGAAACTGTATCAATGTATTTTCTGGGATTTTATGTGATAAACAAACACCAAGTGTCACATAACTGTTAAGTGGAATAAAAAAGGATGCACGGTTTAAGTTTTTATAAATAAAAATCTGCAAGGGGTTTTGTGCGTTTGTATTCAACCCACTTTAGTTTGATACCTTTGAGAAGCTAGTGTTTTAGGAAATAGAGTCCACATGTGGGTAATGTAATCCTAGTGTAAATCCAGCTGTCCTGTGAAGTCTATTAGAAAGCAATATATAATCAGCATCACAAAGACCAAGGAACACCGCAGACAGGTCGGAGATAAGGTTGTGGAGAAATCTAACCCAGAGTTAAATCAAAAAGTGCTTTACAAATACTCATTGCATGTGTTCGGTTCATCTCACAAGATTCTAGAGCATGTCAGAGTACAGCCACAAATTTCAGTGTATTTCAATAAACACTGAAATTTGTGGTGGTAGTCCGAAATACTGTAAAAAAAAAAAAAAGTTGAAATGGAATAAAACTTTTTGCATGGCAACATCTGCCCAGTATGCATAGTCTCCTGAATGCTTTGCTGTTTTATCTTTTTGGGGTTTTTTTCTCCCTTCCAAAGAAACAAGAAGTGATGAGATCTGCAGTTGCAAAGTCCCAGTTAATCCAACCCAAATCATCGATGACCACAGTGCATGTCTAGGTGTTGTAAGAAGAAGCAGGATGGTGTTCTCTGTCTCACACACAGTTTGACGAAGTGGTTTTATTTCATGTGCTTGTTGCAAGAATGAGGTTATAGTTGATGACTTCTTCAACAGTAGAGAGAGTTGAGGCTCTTGTCGACAGATATTAACTTTTTCGTTTTTTTTTTTTTTTTTTTACAAGGGAAACACAATGTATCACAAACAACGTTGCTATAGGTGCTGTTGTAAGTCTTTTTTTTTCATATTGGTCTGATAAGTAAAAGTATTCTTATCTTGTTGCTGTTTCAGTTTTGGGAGGGGGTTAGCCATGTGGTATTTTTTATCATCATTTATCATTTATCGTAGTTTCGACAGGCTAGTGAAATGTAAATTATATCGGTAACTATTGTAAATTGGCCGTAGCAGCAACCAGATAACGATACAGACTCAAATTGTCATATGGGTACATGCCTAACTTCAACTCATATGATATCGATTCTCATAATTCTATAAGAAACATGCAGATACTTTTGAGTCGACAGCAAAAATCAACTCTTAAAATGAATGCGCACTGTGACAAAGAGAGAGCCTCTCTTTATTCTCAACTAAAAGTACAGAAAATGAAGCGATCATCTCATCAGTGACAGAAAGTTCTGTCCTGACCTGAACATTTGTGAAGTTTTGACAGTTTGGGTTCATGTTGCAGAAATAGAAAAGCATGAAAACATACCTCAGAAAGATATGATATTGTGAAATACATGCGTAACAAAACATTTATCTCCTCTAGATTAAACTTTTTATGACTAAAATGAATTATGTTTATTTTGTTTTTCTCTAATGCATCAGCACTTCTGTTTATCTACCTCATTTATGTTCTTGATTTGGTTGTAGTGTTGTGCCTCAACTGTAATTATTTACCTGAAACAAGGAAATACCAACAATAAAGTTTTTTTGCCTTAAAAAAAAAAAAAAACAGAACATTTTCAGTGATCTTTATTGGAAATAAAAGTACACTTAAGTTTTTTTTAAGCCTTTCTAGATATACTAAATGCAGATCAGTCCTTTAACTGGGGAATGTATTCATACGCTCCCTGAGACTTGGGGTGACACTTCGCTTTGTGATTGAACATGTGCTGGTGGTTTGTATACTCAACAGATATTTATTGTTTTACATTTTCAACGCATTTACTAAATCGAAGAAAATGTTTGCCGTGACCATAAGTGGGATGAGAAGAGAGGTGCCTGAAGAGACACAGGAAAAAAAAAAACTGAGAACAGTTTTCACAACATGTTTACCAGTACATTTCTTCCCCTTTAAATCCAGTTTTATAATACAATATTTAAAGAAAATGCAGAACAAAAAAAAATAAAATACATCAATTAATCTTTGTTGAAATTCAAAGTTTCTTTCTAAAAAAAAAGAAACTTTGGCTGAAATGTGTCCAAACACATTTCAGCCAGATATTGTTACTCCCCGTGTTTACCTGTTGTGTGCCCTTTATTAGAAGACTCGCTGGCTGTTAAGAAATAAATACAATAGTGTGTTTTTTTATTTCAGTTGGGTTATTCTTTCATATAAACATAAGTTACTGAAATATCGGATAAAAAGATTTACAGTACCTTTAATCTGAAACTCAGTGGTGAGGATCCCTCCACTCGGTTCTACTTCTGACGACAGCGACCTCTTAGAGCACGGACTCTTCAGAGAAAAGCAACAATATTAACTTTAGACAATGTTCACAATGAGTTCCACTTAATCTACATGGTGCCTAAAAAACACACCTGTTTTAGAGTTTCTTTTGTACCATAATAAATCAAACACTAACTTGGAAAAATGCAATATTTCAATCGTTGAATTTTGTGCTTTTATGATGTGAATCACTTTGATCGGCCTTGTTGCCGAAATGTGCCATGCAAATAAACGTGTCGATTAAGGACATGTTTGTATTCCGACTACAAAAGGGGGAAGATTATTAAAGTTCTTTCATGTTTGTGATTACATATTTGCAATGTACTCACAGGCTGACAGACCAGCCTCTCTGCATCACAGATGTGGACCTCGCAGTGAAGCCACACGGTGGACACCTTCTCCAGTCGCTGGAAGCGGAAGGAGTTGAACTTAAACGTGGAGCGGCTGTCCTTGGCATTATCGAAAATGGTCACTGTGTAGTCAGCAGGACAGCTGGTAGAAAACAAAAATGTGGAAGTTGTTGCACAAACAAATATCTTCAAGGAATGGATCCTTATCAAGAGACAATAAATGTTTGGGCACCTGTTGATGATAAGACTCCACCTCTTTCTGTCTGTTGAGTAAGGAGTTGGAGTCGCCCAGCAGTTGTTGATAACAACTTTGAATCTGATGGTTTAAATACAGTTGGATTCAGCATTTGGCATTGTGGATATAGTTCTATATATATATATATAAATATATATCTTATTTCAAGTTTAATCGTTAAAGAAAATGCTTGTGTACCTATTACTTAGACCTTTTGCTTCAATACCGATAAAAACTTCAGAGCCAATCTCAGAGGTGTCAATCACATAGGGAGCGTCCTTAGCATACAGGAACTTAGAGTTCTACGAAATACAGGATTTTTGGTGTCCTTTTCATCATGCAGTCATTTCAAAGAAAATAAAATAAAAACTCATGCCCACAAAAAGAGCGTTTCCAGAAAGAAATGTTTTCATTGAATTACAGAGGCGTTGACAAGGAGAGAAACTGGAGTGACTCACCGTGAACACGTTCATAGACAACTGTGATCTAAAAGTCCCTAAACTCCCATTGTTGACATAAACTGTAGCAACTCTAGAAAAAGCAGAGGGTTTAGTAAAACCACTACAAGTTGTTGTGTCAGCATGCACATATGCTTCAGAGAGTATTCTTGGTTGCATGGTGCCTTGAGCTGGTGCTTACCTCTGACTGAAGACTGCGTTATTTACCAGGTAGGCTGCTCGGTATACGCAGCTGAAGGTGTAGTTGACCGGCTGGTTTCTGACCGTCAGCGAAGTGTCGTTGGAGACGATGGAGTTGTAGAAGATGTACTTGGCATCTTTGCCTGGCATATACTGAATTAAAAGAACACCGGGAAAAGCGCGGAATGAGAGTATCGTCAGCATTGCTTCTCTTCTTATGCAGGCGCCTTACCTCGGATTGTGTGCCGCAGTACGAATGGTTTCTTGGTGTTAGGTCTGGTATGATGAAGCGGTAGTACCCTGGGCTGTGTATTCCAGTGTAACACACTCCACCCAGGGACAGCTGGTCTATCTCCCAGCCATAAGGACACTCTGGCACATTGGCGATGATGGCGTTAGGAAAACAGGAGACTACAACATAGTCTGGAAAACAAATCAAACAGACTTAAAATGTGTCCAGGCATTTGGTAACAACTTTTGTAATGACCTAATTTTCCACTTAAAAAGTGCATCTATCAAAACATAACTTTAAAAAAGAAAAAAAAAAAACATGGCTTTTTTTCTCAGTATCTTTACAAGAGTTTTATTTATTTAATTTACTTTAGTCTAACTTCAACACTAAGCTACAAAAGAAGGACAAAACAAAATATTCTCACTTTTAAAATCAAGCCTGAATTATTTCATATTTTGGATTGAAATGACATAACATGCAAAATAAATAAATAAATAAATAAATATCAGGATCATTTTCAATTTTAGGAATTTGCAGCAGTTCTGGACGAGTCTCAGAAGAAAGTGAAAGTGTATATTAGCCTTTTCACAAATCTGGTTTTTACCTGCTTTTTGTGGCGCGCATGTCAGTGCAACGGGTAAACTCAGTAGCAGTGCAACAAATGAAGCCATGGTGAGATGCTGCAAAGTAAAATTGAGAATTTATTTTTAAAAAATATATATATTTTGGGATAAGATCAAATCTGTAAAAGAGAAATTGTGTCTCACCTTATGAAGCTAACACCTTTAGCCTGCTGAATGTCAGGGGATCACCATATCTCCTTTGCAGGTTGTCTGTAAACTAGCTCTGAGGCAACTCAAGGAGGCATTTTATAGTGTGGTAGATGAGGGTAAATGGCTTTCAATCATTCTCCTGTCTCCAATTTTCCCACTGGCATGACTGGTTTAAGAGGTCCATTGTGAAGCTTTTCACAAAAGCCCTCTGTGCTCCTTAGACTGAAGACTCTTAAATGACCATTAGTGTTACCTATTCTGCAGATTGGTGAAAAGAAACGGCCAAGGTTCATACAATGGACACTGAAAGGTTTTGAATTAAAGGATGACAATAAAGGATGGGATGAAAAAGTCTCAAAGCGTGACATTTTTTAAGGGAAGTCAAACATTCTGTAAAAAACTTACATCAATATTCACACTACAAAAAAGATAAACTTTTATAAACTGAATAAAAGTCATTTCAACATCTGTAGCTTTCCTAATGTAATGTAATGTAATGTTGAAAATAAACCTTATAAGGTTTCATAAGAAATTATTTTTTTTTATCATTTTTTTAACACAACTTTACGTGCAAACTTCAAATTTTTGGTGTTTAATAGGTCATTACATACGGCACAACTGTCTTATCTGTATACTACATAGAACCGAAAACGTTTTTGCCCCCTAAATTTATTCTGTTTTTACTTCGTTGTTACAAATGAAGTGGAATCAGCACTTTGCATGTGCTTTAAACTACCATTTATTTTTGATGAAACATGGAACAAACTAGAAAAATAGTCAAATAAATCTGCTTTCATGACCTGCATGTGTCCAAACAGAATTAGTGCTGGAATTCAGGGCGATGCCATTCTATTCTAAATACACAGTGATCTTGTTTTGTTTTTTGTTTTTTTGTTTGTTTTTTTTTACTACACACTTAAACACTTAACAGCCTATTTCAGTTTCACCAGCACCTCTTTATGAGATTGTTAAAAAAGAGAAACATGCAGAGAGAGGGTTCTACATCTGGATCATTTTGGCCTCCATCACATGAGAACCCTTAAAGTTGCAAATTGAATAGTGTAGTCACTTATTAATCCCACAGTGGATCAAACAGACATGTAAAGATACTCTAAAATGTGATGGTAGCTCAGATACGATGAGGCGCACACAGACCGTAGTGTTCTAAAGTTCAGGTGATAGGCCTCTGGTTTTGTAGCACTGACAAATATCGGGTTCCTCACAGTCTTGTGCTATTAGATATCACTTTTGTTTAACCTGGCTTTTTGTGCGTGTGAAATGTGCTTCCTTATTGGCTTGTTTTTAAGCTACATACTAGCCGTCTTGCAGCTTTCTTCTTAGTCATTCCTGCTAATAATTTGTAATATTGGCTTGTGTCTTAGAATGGATTTGTTGCATTGTTTCTCAATTATATTTGTTAAGAAATTAAATACCTGCTATTTGCACCAGACTTTCACTTGTAAGCTTTAATGCATTTTAGTGGCTCAATATCAAAACCCACCTTACCATTTTTATTTATTTATTTATTTTTTTGTAAACTCTGAAGAATGAGAAGAAACGAGACTAGACACTAAGGTTGTTCACAGAAAAACTGCACTCAGTAACCTTTCATCTGAAAGAGTCGAGCTGCAGACAATTAGCATCTAAATGGAGCGACTGGGGGAATGGTAAAGGTTTGACCGAAGAAGATACGGATCTAGGAGAGTGTAATGAGACAGCTAGTGTTTCAAGCACCTGTCGATGCTAACAATTGAGAGTTGCTGGATTCCTCCTCTGTGTTATGCAAGTGAACCATGGGATCCAAAAACGTGCTTCAAGAAATGTGCTCAGAAAGGAGACAAAGTAACTGTTCACGGCTTCTCTTACAGAGAACAGTGAGCTGGTAGAGACGTACCCAAATAACATAGGTGTATCTGTCACGAAAAGTTTTTCCACAAAATATTTAATCGGGGTCTGATTACAAATACATACCACACTTTTTTTTTTTTTTCCCAATGAAAACATCACTAAATACACAAAGAAGATGTTTTATGAGACTGAAGCCTAGTTCAACCCAGCTACACAGAGCAGAGTAGTGCTTTTCTAGATATTCACTACATTAATCTAATGGCATCTTTCAAAACAGCACATGGAAATACAAACATTTATTCTGTACACATCATATTTACATAATAAATAGATTTAATCTGGAGGCCTTATGTTAAGGTTTGGACCCTTGGCAGGTCCATCTCGTCCGTTCTGGTTGATAGGTAAAGTCCCTCCTGAAAGACAAGGAACAATAAGTTATGTTTTGATTGCCCAATACTTTTCCTCCAAAATAAATTAAATAAAATCTAAAGAACATTGTAAGAAGAGTAAAGTCAGTACTTTTTACAAAAATAACTATTTCTTAATAAACTGCAAAGTATGTCAACTAGAGGCGCTGCTTCTAAAATTATCCAACTGAAAAAAATATATATATATTTTTGTCATTTTAATCATATATTTTGTGTAATTGTATCAAATGGAAACTTATCAAATATTTCTGCTAATGTTTTGGTTGACTTTTAAAAATGGACAAATAAAACCTTAAGCTTTGGGAACATTATTATTATTATTATTATTTTATGGCTTCTCACATGATCCGTTGTCTGTTGAGGGAACCACTTCAGTTTAAATGGGAGTACTCACTCTCTGCGGTTCTGTCTGCCGTCTTCCCGACACAGCAGACCTTCCTTGCACGGGCAGATCTGGTTGATGCTGAACGCCAGGCCGCCATCGGGAACATAGCAACTCTCTTTGCGAGCCAGGCGCTTTTTGCACACCGTCTCGCCATGATGTCGAGCGCAACACATCGAAGGCCCACAGTCTCTGTCAGCTTTACACCTGGAGCCTGATTCAGAAAATGAAGGAATTAGACAGCAGGTTAACTACGCTTTTTTTCCCCAAAAAATGTCTTGAGATTAAATTTTGCAGGGTTTATAGGATTTTATGTTCTTTTCAAAATTTTAAATACCAAAAGTTTACTATGAAAATACATAGACATTTCTACTGCTTTAAATATGTGCTCCCTTGCAAAGAAGGGAGCACATAAAGATGAGAAGAAAGAAGGACATACAGAGGGAAAGACAAAGATAGAGGGGAATGTGGAAAATATAGAAGGAAGAAAGAAAAGGAGGAGAGAATGTTGCAAGGAAGGAAAGGAGGATGTAAAGAATGAAAGAAGAAGGACACAATGAAGGAAAGAACACAAAGAAAAAGAATAATGGAAGGACATAAAGAAGGAAAGAAAAAGGAAGAAAGAAGAAACAAATCTACTTATCCAGACCTTGAAAATACGGAAATCAAACCCCATACTTTCCAGTCTGCGTAAGGACCTTGAAAAGGTTTTAAGATTTGATTTTATGTTCATATCCTTACCCTCTTGTCCATTGGGAATGCTGCGGTGACACTTCCCAAACATGCAGAGGAGTCCACGGACACACTGAGTGTCCCTCCGACAGTACTGACCCTCTCCACGTAAAGGCACACAGAGACCAAAGTGACGATCACACGAGAAACCGCGTCCACAAGCTCTGTCGCTGTCGCACACAGTCTGCAGACAAAATAAAATAAACTTTTTTTAAAAAATTCCTGTTGAAGATGTGTAACTGAGTACTTTTACAGGATAATGCCTTAAAACAAAAGTTAGAAATTCTTACTGTGAGTTCTTTGGCCACAGGAGAGTTCTCTCGAAGAACTTTAGCTCCGTCTTTGGGAGGGCCGTGAGGCATGTTGAGCATCCAGGCCCAAATACGAGCGTCGGCACCGGAAAAACACACCAACAGGAGAACCAGATTCATTTCCCCCAACATCCCAAAGATGCAAAAAGATAACCTACACAGGCTGCCTCAGAATTAGGAAAAGAGAAACTTCAAGAAGGCCCCAGTTTTTTTGTTTTTTGTTTTCCTCAGAAACGGCTGAGGAGATCCACGCAGTGACACTTGCCAGCTCCTCTACCCGTACGACCTTTATAGGCCAACAAAGCTCAACTTCCCCCTCGCTACACTGTTTGTCCAAGCAACAGGGTAGGAGGAGACAATTAGTTTTTAATAGATTAACTTATTGCCTGAGCTACCCCCTGCAGGCTGAAAGTACTGGCCAAATGACAAGTAGCAAAGCGGCAAATGAGGGGAGACGGGGCATTGACAAGAGTTTTTGACAATGCTGCCAAGACAAGCAGCACCTCTGTGTGGTTATCTCAGCTAGACAAACAAACAAGGAGGACAAAAGAAGACAAATGCATGACATGTTTCACTGCTCACTGAGTGACAAGTGCTGCCACTAAAGGTCCTGGCCCCGAAACGCTAAGCAAACAGCTCTGGGCCCCTACCTTCCCTCCCCCTCCCTCCCCCCCCACCAACCCTATCCTGCTTCAGACCCCTTGCTGGGAGCAATTTGGAGAAACACACCCAGCAGACAACCCCGTGATCTCATTAAGAGTAATTACCATCAGCCATTCGTTCTCACAGGCAGGAAAGCTGTGAATGCTAATGAAAACCCAATATTTATTCCTACACATTTTTCCTCCAAGAAGAGTAGAGCCAAGAGACACCAACTGAGATCTTTCAAGAAACACTCAGCGTCAATATGAGTAACGATCGCTGCAAAAGAAAAGTGAAAACTTTTCTCCAATCACACTTTGCAGAAAGTAGCTTTTTTTAGTAGATGATTTTGTGTTTCAAAATATCATCCAAATTTATATATTTTTTTAAATTTCTCCCCCAATTTTCTAAAACATTAACAGTTAAGTTCAGCAACAGTAACTTCAAATACTTTCTGGCGTTGAATATTGTGCCTGTTTGGAGATCTTGATAAATATGAACTTAGGTCTTAAATATGGACTTAGGTGAACCCATTTCTAACAGCTGCACTGGTGTGTGACAATGTAAATTGAATGTTACCGTTTTCATTTCACATGTAAATTCTGCTGCAGCAGAGCAGGCTTCCTTTGGACTTTGTCCCATTTGGCATCTGAAAGGACAGCCCTTTAAAATCGGGGCAAACAAAATGGAAGTTCCAAGCATTTTATACATTTCTTTTTAGAGAATCCCTTCCATTCCTGTGCCGTTTTAACACACGGGGCCCCTGGCTTAACATCAAACTGTGATTTCATAACTTTACGTAATATTTACAATTGATTCTGGGCCTAGCATCGACAGCAGCTTGTAAATCCAGAGCTGCAAACAATGGCCGCAGGATTTGTTCAGCCAACATAATCCTTTACTCTGCATGGGGTTAACGTTTTATGAAAAGGATATGAAAATGAAAAATAAATAAATAAATTACCAAAAGCTTTTATATTCCTAAAACCCTGACTATCAGTCAGAGCAACAGTGGGCAATATTTTTATTTCATCGAGCCCATTTTGGACCAGTTACAGAAATATTAAGACCTGCTTATTGAATTGGCCGTGGAGACAGTATAACCACATCCATCATACATAATAAATAATCTTCCAAGCACAATCAGGCAAAGAAAAATGCTTGCTCTCTATATTTCTGTTGCAGTGTCAAGATTTGTTGAGAGCTTTGTATGTAATATTCTATGTTGGACGAGATAGGATGTTACACATTTTACTTCTTATACCACTGATGGCAAGTTCACTCTGCTGTCAGTGGTTCGTTTCCAGCATACGTGTGAAAGTACATATATGTTTGCTAAAAAAAAAAAAAAAACTGCATTTGTATCGTCTTTCATATAGATTCAGCAGGGAGAAAGAAACATTGGTCTGAGACTTTTCTCCACACTGAAATGACAGCGTCACAGATCTATCTGATTTACATCCATAATACAAATTTCACATTCCACTACATGTCAAAAGTGCTCACCTGAGTGAGATGGTGAATATTTTTTCTGTAAGTAGCCATTAGAATATGCTTTTATGGTGTTTACTGCAAATTCTGACCATTCCTGACCATCTGAATGGTGCGGCTGAAATTGAAACTTGCATTACCAGGCAGCAGTTTTCCATATTTGTCACCGCTAAATGTTTGACACTGTGTGAATTTTAGACTTGCTTTCCTGTTCTCACTAGACAAGAGTCGCGACCGGTGTGGTCTTCTTGCTGCTGTAGACCATCAGCTTCAAGATTACACACGTGATGCTATTCTACATATGTCTTATGTTATTGCACTGCAAACAACTTTTGACTTTGATTTATTTTCACACTTATTTTTTATTTATTTGGGGATTTCAGTGCCCATGTGGAACTCGTTTATTGCAGTTTTTGTGTATTTCGATCAAGTGTGAGCCGTAGGGACAAGGCTGGTTATAATTTAACTAATTCTCTAACTAAATAATTAGTATTCAATGTTTTCATCCATTGTAGTTTTGAATTTACATGGTCTGAGTGTCAGACAGGACGTATCAGACAGAAACATTTAGTATCTCGTCTTTGGTTCTTACACTAATGCCTCAGCTGGCTGCCCTTTCTTTTATTATGTGTACAACATCGACGATTGCTGTATGCAAATCTGTGTGGGGGCAAGATAACACACTTATCTAAAGTACATTGTTGCATTTACTTAAATTGTAAAGAAAGCAGGAGTATAAGCCCAATGTTTTGCTGGATAAGAACCACAATGTAATTAACATTATCCACACTTATGTTCTTACAAACTTACATTTGTAGTCACTATTTACAAGCTTTATTACTAGATTCTAAGAACGGATAAGGGTCTCCAGTCAGTGGTCAATATTTCCTCTCAGGGTTAATGACTCTGCTAATGACGCTTGTAATGAATGTAAAAACTGTCAGAATCAACATCGCTGTCAGAGTCGCATTTAGGACTAAAAGAAACAATGGCTAAGCTGACATCTCTTCATTGTAATGGACCTTTGCCCCCCTGTGGACAGCTCTCAACAACTTACAATTACCATTAAGATGCTATGACACTGGGGAAGAATTGACTCCCAGTGTCATCCCACTTTACTCTTAGTCCGCAACAAGAACCAGTTTCGCCTTGCACCAATGAATTGTCTGGCATTTGCAAAATACCTCACAAATGTTTTGTCCACTCCAACTTTCTTAACATAAACTGCATTTTATAAGTAGCAAAACTCCAAAAAGGAAGACTAACACCAGACAAAACACTGGACTTTGCAACGGTTTTCGCTCGGGACAAACACGTTAGCTGCAACTTGTATGTTTGTGAAAAGGAGCTCAAAGGGATCCGACTGCACAACATTATACCACCCTAGTTATTATGTTTTTATGTCTTCAGGAAGGGGCGGGGGGGAAATGACACATTTCCTCTGAATAAGCTTCTGTGAACATTCATCTCCACATGGCATTTTTATATTCAGTTCTCAGATTTTCTTTTTTTCATTTTTCCTTTTTTTTAATGATTTTCACTTCCCACATATTCCTTGTTTCCCGTTTGTAGTGCGTTTCTTTAGCCAACCAGTGGGAAACCAAAGAAAGCAGATGGCATTTGTGACATCACACTGCAATGGGTCTGTTGCTGTTACTACAATGTTACTAGAAGAAAAAACAAACAAAAAAAAAAACACCATCTCTCCTAGTAATGTGGTATACTCGGACAGAGTGGTCATTTAGGCTAAGTATTGCGACAAAGAGTTGACTCAAAGGCTTTTAAAGCCTATGCATAGTCCACAAGAACAGATAAATTAGTTCTTTTGCTCAAGGCTGTAAGGACAACAACAAAGTTCTTCTTGACGGCAAGGTAATTTCACTCTAACCAAGCACCAAAATGAAATCTTTACGGGTTTCTCACACTGCAGCACACCCACTTAATGTTTCTCGGACTCCACACAAGAAAAATGTTCTGCCCAGAACGTGAATCAAAGCTACAAGAGCTCCCAAACCAGGGCAAGCAAGAAATGACGCAAATTTCTTGTTACCCTGGAAAAGAGAACACATTTCTCTGTTGCTATGAAGTATATGCCGGGATTTAGTCATTTTGCCACGTCGTGCTTTAGAATATTCCCCCAGACAGAAGCTTCTTGGACCCGCCAGCAGCAGTAGCTGAAGCAGAAGATGGAGCTTTACTTCAGCAGACATTGTTCATGTTTAATCTTTGTGAACTCAAAAAAAAGAGCAACTCCCTCATAGATTCAGAATAAAACACGGAGAAAGAAGATACTTGCTACCCTTGAAAATGTCCTCAGTATTTTGGCACTTATTACCCTCATAAAACAGTTTGTCTTTATAGTTTGCTTGTGCAGCAATTTTAGCTCCAGGAAGAGCTCAACACGATGCTACATTAAAGAGCTGCAAAACACTCCAAAATTAGACAAATTGTTTGCTCAGCAAAAACACACAAGATACACATAACTACCCTTAAAATAAGTGAGGGTTCCATATTATTTTGGTGTCAGCTGTTTAAAATGAATTTTTCTTAAATCAGCTTTCCTAACCTGTCTCAAAATGGAAAAAATAAATAAATAAATAAAGAACACTCAAAAGTTTGAGTTCATCAATAATGAGAAACAGATCTGTTTCTTGACGGGTCGAACAAAGAAGAAACCATAAGCTGAACTGGAGACAAGGGTCCCTGGGAATGAGTCATCAAATCTATCACTGTAACTGTTTCCCAAGAAATTCCCTCCAAGCTCTGCTGACTTCAAAAACAGCATGAGTTTAGAATTAGTTGGGAGGGGGGGATTCTTTCCTAAGCATCATAAAACCCATAGTAACCAGGGAATCCCAACATTAATGTTCAGTCAACTAAATGATCAGATTTTTCTAATCACCATAAAATCCCAGTGCCAGATTCCACGCAGTGACGGCAAATTTGTTGTTTTCTCCCCTCAACATTCAAGTGGAATTCTCTGAGCTCTCGCCCTCCTTTGAACGGTGCCACCATCTCAATCCAAGTAAGTGCAAACCACACAGTCTTTCAAGCATAAGTTATATTTTCCCCAGATAAACTTACACTTCAAACCAATTCTGCAAGGGTTCATTTCCAAATTTGGATTGAACAAACAGATCGTTGGCATAAACACACATTAGGGCCAGTTTTCCATGATGTAAACATTTGTTTCCCAAACACACTTTGCTTAAAATGTACTAAGTCGATTTAGCAAGATGTGTTTAAATAAATCTGTCAGGGTTTATAATAATGGGGGGGTGGGAGGGGGACCCCAACAACACCTTCTTGTCATTCAACAGCTTGTAGAACTGCCCATCTCGGTCTTTGCGGTCCCGTTTATAGGCCCTGTTTACATGGAGCCACTCTTCATTAAAACCACTACATTTTTACTGCGAGCCACATGTCCAGAAAGCTTTCCAAGTCTCCAGGGACCGGAGTGTCTCGCATCGGAATGTTTAAAAGCAGGTTTCGGAGTGAAACGTTTCAGGAACAACCCCCTGCATACGGTAGGTGTGAAGTACTCTGCCGGTGTGAATGCACACATGCTGAAAAAATACAGCTGCAGGGTTTCGTCTACGCATGCACGGCAGATAACAAGGCAGAGCTTTGGATAAATACTCAGCGCATTGTATGGGCAAGCACTTGTGCTCCCCCTGAATGGCTGCCATAGTAGACTTATGAAGCATGCATGAAAGAATCAAAGCAACACTGCACGTATATTTTTGATGAGAGAATATCATAACATGAAATGAAGGTCAAAAGTAAATTTTACATAATATCCCCAATTACAGTGATTTTCTACATTATGCTCATTGTCCTCTACAGGGGAATGAAAATACACTGCTCAAAAAAATAAAGGGAACACTCAAATAACACATCCTAGATCTGAATGAATGAAATATTCTCATTGAATACTTTGTTCTGTACAAAGTTGAATGTGCTGACAACAAAATCACACAAAAATCATCAATGGCAATCAAATTTATTAACCAATGGAGGCCTGGATTTGGAGCCACACACAAAATTAAAGTGAAACGTTCCCTTTATTTTTTTGAGCAGTATATATGATTCCAGTAGATCAGGGGTGTCAAACTCATTTTTGTTTTGGGCCAAATCAAGCTCTTAAAGGGCCGGATGTGCCAGAATATGTTGATAAAACCTGTTCACAAACTCTTAAGATACCAATAAATTCTCAAAATTAAATATTATTGAACGTATTTCAGTCCCTCCAGGATTTTGTGTTACCTTTTGTGTTTTACTTTTTTGTGTTTGTGGTACTAATTTGGAAATATTTGCAATATTTCAGCTTATTTATGATATCAGTTAAGGCTGAGGCAGCTGTTTAGGACAATTAAGACAGTTTTTGACAATTTTTGAGAAAAATCTGCAATAAACTCCCAATTATTAGTGAAGGAAAGTACAGGAATTTGTTGATTTTGTGTGAATTTCCACAATAATTTTCGAGAAACTGGAGGGACTGATTGATATAATTTGACAGTGAACAGATAAAAACTGCACCGATTTGACTGACAACATAATATTTAAGCACACTTGGTGTTTAGAATCTAGAAGGCCACATAGAAAGCCATGGCGGGCCGGATTTGGCCCACGGGCTTTGAGTTTGACACATGTGCAGTAGATAATACCTTGCAGCATTAGGTCAATTAAGAGGTTAAGTTTGATTAGGGGTTATAATTATAATTATTAAGCTGGAGATCCCTGAATAATAAATGAAAAAAAAATATATTTAAATTGATTCTTGCAACAAAAACACGTACATTTGCATGCACCCAATAAGGCATGCAACAAAACCACCTAAATTGAGAATAAACCAAGGTTTTAAACAAGGCAACTGCATTTAAATAAAAATACACCCTTGTTGACTTTTTTTTTTAAAACGGTGTTTTACAGTGTCTCACATCCAGCAACGTTTCACTGTTCTGATTGACATGTTGTCAGGACCAAGATTATTAACTACTGTTGGACACAATTGTGCATTTAATTTATGTCTTAAATTTCATGTAAAAAAAAAAAAAATCCACTAGATTAACCAATTCCAACTTTGAAAGTCAGATGTTTCTCTTTAATCTTGCGATGAGTTCCAGGAATAAATCCTTTTTTTTGTTGTTGCTGCTGCACTCTTGTCAGTTACACATGGCTCTGATATGCCCTGCATCTTGGAAACTGTGTGCAAACACAGCCGAAGTAATGGCAATTAAATTCAAAGCAAGGGTCAAAGTTTGTGGAACAGTCAGAACCTTTCCTGCATATTTTGTCATTAAAATCAAAGCACAGTGCAAAGTTTACGGAACAGACAGAACCTTTCACGAACATTTTATCTCGACGCAATTAACTGGAACCACATTGAAATGTTTTGAGCAAAGTTGCCACTGAGTCGTATCAAAACAGAGAAAACATTTCAACATTATTTTTGTGAAAAAAAAAACAAAAAAAAAACAGTAGGGTGTGAGCAAGCGGAAGGCTCAAGTTTAAAGACAAATTCGGCCTGTTAAGAAACAAATGTTGAATCTAGATGAACTTGTCTTTAATGGATTTGAAAAACTGTTTGCCCCTTTCCTATGCTTTGAATGTTCGTGAGTCGCACTTTGGTGATTTAGAACATCAAACCAATTTAAATATTAGTAAAAAAAAAAACAAGACAAGTATTCTGAGAAAAAAATTCAAACCTACATTGCACCTGTGTGAAAAAAATAAGTAAATCATCCAAAACTCACAAGCAATCTACCTCTGACTGACTGAAGAAGAACAAAATGAAGACTTTGGAGTGGCCCTGTCAAAGTCCTGACCATAGTCTTATTGAGATGCTGGAGCATGACCTTAAAAAGGTCGTTCAAGCTTGAAAACCCCCCAAATGTTTTTTTTTTTTTTTTTACAGCTGCCAAAAATTCATTGCAAATTATTATAAATGCTTGCAATTGTTGATGCTACGAGTGGCTCGACCAGTTATTAGGTTTAGGGGACGATTACTTTTTCACATATTGTAGGTTTGGATTTGTTTTCCCTTCCTTAATAAAAACATATTCATTTAATACCTGCATTCTGTGTTTACTTGAGTTATCATAGACTAATATTTAAATAGATTTGATGTTCTGAAACACTTAAGTGAGACAAATACGCAAAAAAAACAAAAAAAAACGGAAATTAGTAAAGAGCCCAACACTTTTCCACACAACTGTTAATCAGTCAGAAACAAAAATCCATCAGGTCAAGAAAAATAAAAATAAAAATCTTTGTTGCCAGTTGTCATGATCCATGTTTCTGTGTATTTATTTTTAGGGTTTTCTGTGTTCAGTTTCTTTCCTGTGGGTCTCTGGTCTTCCCCGTTGATTGCTTCCCAGGTGTGTCTCATTCCTTGATTACCCTC